TGCATCAGTGTTTCCGTGGCGACAGGTGTTGTATTTATTTTACTATCCCTTTCTTTAAATGTTTTTTTTTTTACTCTTACTAGTGTAATGATACAAATTATAACAAAATTAGAATCTTGCCTTTATTACAATGTAAAAACCCCTGTCAATCTGGTACTAATTTTACAGTCTTTTACATAGTGTGCGAATTACCAGTGTACCCCTTAATTTTTTTAATGTGGTTTTATTATTTGACAAATATATTTTAAATTAAAAAGAAATGTGCAGCATTTTGTCTGAGAAATAATAAAAGGGACACTTTTGTACACTTTTAAATCTCATTTGTTAAAAAAAAATCGTGAGAAAATCGTATCGTGAATCCAGTATCGTGAATCGTATCATGAGTGAGATGAGTGAATCGTTACATCCCTATGGACTCCTATAATAACTTTTTTTTTTGTTATCTTTTTTAGACCCTGCAAAGAGCACTATAATCATTTTGCTTATGCTTTTACTTCTTTCGACCACCAAGTAAGATGGATTGTAAATAAATAAAGTCTCTCTCATTTTTGAGAGAAAATAACATCATAAGACACACATCATTACAGTGAAAGTTTGTGGAAAAGTTAGCTGATAACATCTGTTTGTTTTAAGCTGACTTGAGCGTTTTATGTGTAACGTCTCAGATAAATATGTGCTAAATAATGGCAAAGCATTTGGTGACACGTGGGACCCGCTCAAAATCCTCCGCTGAAATAAAGGCTGCACTGCAGGATTTTCCCAGAGGCACTGATCTGGCGTTACGCCAGTCCGCTGCATTGGCAGCCAAACACGCTCCCTGCCCCCATCAACACCAGCACACGTACGCTGATTCGTAACGCGGTCCCGTATCGGCACACACTCAAAGGTGCTGCAATGACACGGTCACAGATTCTCACAGATAACTGATTACTGCTCATTTCTCTTCAGTGGGCATCATCTAACATCTTATCCAAAAAAAAGAAAGAAAAACACTTACGTCCTTTCTTCTTTTTGGTCTTCTTTTTCTTCTTTTTCCCAGAGACGTTATCAGCTTCCTCGCCGTCTGTGATGGTTACAGGGTTGACACAATCAAAAGTGACGTGCAATTAACATGATGTTATTCACTATGTACTACTGGCATACTGTATACTGCTCAGTATATATTATACAATAATAACATAGAAATTATATATATATATAAATAAAGTGATATCCAGAGGGGATATTTATTTTTAAAAACCCTAGTACTAGTTGGATTAAACAATCAAAATATGAAATACTTTCTGACAAAATAATTTGGAAAGAAAGGGTAATTACAGCTACAGGTTTTATTTTACTATGCAAAAAAAAAAAAACAAATGCATAGAAATACAAAAAAGTTCACAGGAAAAAGCATTGACTATAACTAATATTTCATAAATTCTCTCTTGTTTTTGCATGTGCTCATAATTTCTTTGGATGACAGCCTGGCCATAAAAATGATGTCTGCACAATTTGGCACGTTTTATTGCGTTATCACAAAACAATTGACTCCAAACAAAACTACACAATATGATTACAAAATCTTTAACAAAATTTTAATATTTAAAGAAAGGTGTGTGTGTATATATATATATATATATATATATATACACACACACACATACAAAAAACATTTGTGACTAAAATACAGTGTATTAAATATCACTGTATAAAAGTCTGTATACAAAATGAACTAAACGATAAACGGTAGTATGTTGTTGTGAGTCTTGTGACCTGACATGACCTTGAGTTATTATTTTTTAAATAAAAAAAACATTTAACTATTTTTTATCCAATTTTGTGTAATAACATCTCAACTCTAGCCTGATTGAAAAAAAGAGTCAAGACAATGTCAAAAATCTTGGTTGATATTACTTCCAGTTCTTCCTATCTTGGCCAGGACTCCCTGGGAGAAGAGTTACTGTAACTCAATGGGACTATTCCTGGTTAAATAAAGGTTAAAAAAATAAAAAAAATAATTCACACTAAAAATGGAAGGGGCACATTGCATAGTGGGATACAAAACCTCCTGTTTGTCTCCTACACGACTTGACAAATGTAACTGGTTATCCAGATATTGTATGCATATTTGGGTAGTTAATCAGTATGCAATTGCATACATAATCAGTGTGAATAAGATCGCTGAAGCATTATAGGAAAACAGTGGTGTTAGATCATTTATGTGGCAAAAAATAAGGATAAGAACTAGAAGCGTTCATTTAAAAGTGGAATACCTTCTTCTCCATCCTCTTCTTTATCTTTCTCATCCAGGTTCTGCTGTTCTGTTTGTTTCCTCAGCTCCACCTCGCCATCCTCACCCTGCTCTCCGTGTCCTGCTGCAAAGTCACACACACAGGTGAACAAGCACATAAGCAAAGGAAGTGCTAAGTGTGCCAGATGCATCAGAAGCGGCGACCTGTGTGTGTGTGTGTGTGTGTGTGTGTGTGTGTGTGTGTGTGTGTGTGTGTGTGTGTGTGTGTGTGTGTGTGGTGGAGAAGTGAGTAACTGCTGTCAGTTTGGAAACTGTCCACAACTTCATCTCTTATACTGGATCTACTGTCTATGAAAGCAAACTTGGCTCAGAACAAACCTGAGAAACAATCTGCAGCATCATATAACCTTGGTAGGGCAACACAGTAGACATGGTGTTGCAAGTACACGGAAAAGTACATATTATAAAATATAAGTGTATGCACAGCAGAATTTTACAGGATCTATAACTATTTATATATATATATATATTTCACAACTCCTATTACTTCTCAAAGGTAAGCCAAAAACTTGAAAAGCAAGGTGAAGTGACAATCATAATTTTGCCAGGCTGCTTGTAAAACTCAACCACATAATTTCAAGTATTTATATAGGGTTAGCAATGAGAAATATTACTGGACATCTTAGGTTAAAAAAAACCCATGAGCATCCTACCTAGACATCAATTTTGGGGTGAATTAGGGTACAACTAACGAGACTTTTTGAATTGTGTTTTAGGGCATCTCAAAACTTTGACTGCCATCATAGACAGCATTTTTTACCATAATATTAATTAATTATAATATAATATTAATTAATTATAATAATATAATATTTTGAGATGCAGCCTATATGTATTCTATATTCTTCTATATCTATAAGAAAAAAACTATACAATAAAAATGCATAAAAGTTCATCTCAAAACAACCTGTATGTAACCTATATTCTTCAATATATATATATCAATATCTAAGAAAAAATACAAATATATAATATGTTAATATATGTTTAATAATAAATACATATAATTTTAAAAAGTATAACATAAATAAAAAAACGAATGTATATATATACACAATATTTTATAAATTTTTACATGAATGTAAAATGTTTTTTTTTAACTTTCTTTTGAGATCTCAGAACAGCTTATATGCTATGTAATCTATATTCTTTTGTAAAACATAAAAAAACACATCAAATTAATAATTATAATTATATAATAATTAAGTAAAAATTATAACATGTAACGTTATATATATATTATATTTTACATAGGCCTACATTTAAAAATACATTAAACGTGTTTTTAAGCTTTTCTTTTAAAAAAAAAAACTTTTTACAGATCTTATTATAATGCCTGACTCAAAACGCTAATGTACACATAGGACAGATGATCCTGAGTGAGTATGTTTAGAGTTTATCAGAGTTCACAGATGATTATTTAAAGCAGGGTCTCTGCACTTATTACTATAAATGAGACACTCACCCGAAACTGCCGACTTGCCTTTCTTCTTTTTCTTCTTCTTCTTCTTGGCGGGATCAGCTTCGTCTCGTTCCGCCGCGTGCCCGTTGAGGATCAGCGTGTCCATGCTTGGCGGTACCGGTACCGGGTTCGGGCTCACCGACACCGGCTGCAGCTGCTCGCTTCCGTTCGCCTCCATGATTCATGCGGACGCGAGTGGAGAGAGGGACCGGACCGGTGCATTGTGGGAGGAGCGGAGAAAAGCTGCCGAATCAGCTGAGTGAGTACATGACGCGGAATGCCAAATTACAAGCATCCTCCTACTATGGCGAAGAATAAGCTCATTAATGTTAATTAGGTCACGCTGTCGAGAGCCTCCAGAAAAGTTACCTCATTCATATTAATGAACATTTCCGTTCGTTAATTGGCCAGCTGACTAGTGCGTTCTGCCTCTTAGCCAATCAGATAGACCCAACAGGCAAACGTCACTGTAAATGATAAATATTCATGATCAAGCCATCGACATTGTGGAGTTTGTAGCGAGCAGAATATTAATGAAGGAAACCCATTCAGAGAATGTTTGACAAAGTGCAGGTTTATTTTTAAACGTTTAAGTATTTATTCATATTGTAAAGTAGCTATAATGTGCACGTTAGAGTTTTTGAGCAATCATGAGTATAGATTCGTACCTTAAATCATTTTAATTAGTGATGATAGAATTTATTCATGTGCCGTTTAGTACACCATGTTCTTTACTGCACCTTTTGTGTAAATCTCACGAAGGTGATGTCTATTTCACACTGAAACAATAATATTAATAATACTTTTTTAAATCTTATGATCATTCTAACTGCATTGTAACATTATTGCCACAACAATTATGCATATTTCCTCCAAATCTCATTATCTTTTATATTGTCCAGTAGATGGCAGAATCTAGTCGGATGCATGTGTTTCTTACCTAGATGTACAGCAATACTTTAAAGGGATAGTTCACCCAAAAATGTTGTTCCAAACCTGTATGAATTTCTTTTAAAAGAAGATATTTTAAATAATGTTTGTAACCAGACAGCTGACGGCGCCCATTGACTTCCATAGTAGGAAAAAAAATACTATGGAAGTCAATTTTGCTTTAAAATGTCTTCTTTTGAAATAAATTCATACAGGTTTGGAACATTTTTGGGTGAAGTATCCCTTTAAATGTGTACAGAAGTCTATTCTTAGTGTGAAACTGCATTAAGTCACCAAATACAAACACATACTGTATATGTACATGTACTTTATTTCACAAATGAAATGCAAGATTGCCACTTTTGGAGTGAGGAAAAAAAAAAAGGCAAAACTGGTGTTGAGTGATGACAAACACATAGACAGTCTCAGCCATGGCCAAGACGATTGTTTGAGTGTCTTGATGTCATGCATATATGCATGGGGGAAAATTAATTACGGATGTTAGACAAAAAAAAACATTCAATTCACACACAAACGTTGTTATATCTGGGGTTTTGCTCTCTGGTCTTATCAACATAGCCATTGACATTCTAAGTCTTATTAAAACATTTAACTGTAGTTGTAAAGTGCAACGGTCCATACAAGGGAAACGTGTTTAAGGCAAGTTAAAGAGTTAAAAGAGGGTTTTGTGTTAAAGGACGAAGCGGTCTTGATCATTATTTGAGAAAATCTATAAATCAGTATTTGTTACTTTAATAAGGACCTAACAATAAGTGGTTTTATGTGAAGTGTTCAACAAGATGCTGGACTGAAAAACTCAAGAAAAAAAGAAAGAATCTTCTGTAAACAAAAAGGAAATCCAATCACTATCAATTTCAGGCAGTTCAACAGCTTGAAATTGGTAACAAGTGTATTAATTTTAAAACCTTTAAAATGACTGACAGTTTCTGCTCACACAGCTGGTGTTTCACCACTGTGACCATCACAAGGTCAATGCTTCAAAGTGTGACAGCATACCAGCTGCAATCCAGTAGGATGTCAGTATTACCTTTGCTTTTTGTAATTAATGGTGTGAATCTCATGCACATAGGGTTAGCAATGAGAAATATTTCACCCCAAAATCAAAAAATGCATAGAGAAAAGGATTTTTTATTTTTGGTACCATTAAGATGTGTGTTTATTATTTACCCAAATTCTCATTAACGTAATGTGACAAATATCTGATTGTCATTACCGCAATCCAAATAAATAAGTAAAACTGTTATTAGTGTAATGGGGAAACATTTTAATTCCGTAATATGGAGGGGAAAAAAATGATTCTCATTACTGGAATTAAAACAAAATTATCAATAGTGTAAATAAAAAGAACAATAACTTCTCAATTTTGCAATACAGAAAATAAATTCCAATACACTCTTTCTTTCTTTCTAGAATTTGTCATTACTATACTGCAAAAAAAGATGTTATTTGATTCATAAAATATGTATACATTGCATTGTACAATCATTGCTGATTTAAAAAAATATAGTATATTTATATTTAGAATATATTGGAATTTTTTTCTGCATTGTGGTAACGAGAAGTTATTTTACTTACACTAAGGACAACTATTTATTTTGCATTACGGTAATGAAAATGAGATTTATTGAGGGAAATGTCTTAAAATTGTCATGAAAAATGTCTTCAAAGCACAAAATCTAAAAAAGACTTAATTTTCTTAATGTAATGTTTTTCTTTCTGTAATTTTGGGGTCAAATATGACCCAGACATGTTCTTGATGGCCAGTTACGACCCAATATAACTGACTTTTTAGGCATTTTAAGAACTTGTGGTTATTTTGTGTGGGACCTCTGTTACAGTGAGTAAAACTGGGACGGCCAAGGACATGTAGTTTTCCACATTTATGAGTTTATGTTAGTGTGCGTTAAAGTTTTTATTCTGTTATTTTGAGTACTAGCGTGTGCCAGTCTGTACCTGAGCCCTGTCATGAGGAGAGTGGACATGGGGTGTCACATGGAACATAAAATCCTCAACACACACACACACAAACAAATATACACACTCTAAAACAGAGACGCACACACACCAGTTACATCCAATGATGTCTGTGACCTGAAATCAAGCTCAATAAATACGAACAAAAAGATGACAATAAATATCCTCCTTGTTCAGTCCTCCTCGGTTTCTCTCGTCTGCTGTGATGTCACTTCCCCTTCCTCCTCCGAGTCCCCGTAGGTGCATTCCTGCATGTGTGTGAACGTATGCGAGCGAGCTGCAACCTGGGCGGCCAGTGCGGAGCTGAAACTGATCGCTTGCGAGCCATGCAGTTCAGTCAATCTGTCGATCACAGAGAGGGTGGGCACTCGGGGTGTGAGTGGGTGTGTCCCATCATGCTCGTCGTCTACGAGTCCGTCTGATTGGAAGAGATGCGTTTCCTCTGCCGTTTCCTCACTGGCGTCTTTAGCTGCCCCAGTTACATCAGAATCTCCACAGCAAAACTCAGTCACAGAATCTTTCTCTCCTTCTTCCGTCCCACTCAGAATTTCAGTCTGCGGCTCGCTTTCATTCTCCTCTCCTTGTTGGGAGACGTGGTTGCCTGTGGTAGTCATGGACTCCACTGAAACATGCGGCTCTAAAGAGTCTGTGTCCGTTTCTGATGTGTCCTTAGCAAACGGAGCCAGAGCAGCTAGAAGGACAACAAAAATAAATTGGAAGAGGATTTAGTGTTGGGAAAGACAAACAAAAAAGGTACATGTAATTGAGTGTAGTTTAGAGAAGCTAAGCTAACTACACTAAATATCTTGGCAATCTTACCTTTCATGTAGTGTGTGCGGTTTGTGAATGTAAAAGGTCAGCAAAGCTTCAAAGATCAAAGTGCACGAAAAATGGAATTGTCTCCTAAAAGAACGAACCGATTTTGATCTGAGTCAGAAACTCCAGTCTAACTTCCTGTATGAACCGGTGTAGGTTTTTCAAATTTGCATAATGCCAGCCTATGGTTTTTATTGGCTGCCTGCTAACAAAGTCTACTCTGACCCGCCCTCAAACACTGTATCTGTAGCGGAGGCCTGGAAGAGTTTGGTTTTTGTGTTGTCAATGTGTCGAGAAGAAGCTACTTCTTTCCAGTGTTTCATTATCGGACTCCACCACCCCCATCACTGTGTGTGAATCAAGCGCTGAGGAAGAGCTGAAATTCAGTTATGGTAATAGAGTTTAATTTCTGACATGTGCTGTAAGTGCTAGACCAATCACAACAGACTGGGCCATCTGGCCAATCAGAGCAGAGTATGCTCTCGGAAAGGAGGGATTTAGAGAGACTGTATCCTTTATCGAACGGTCTCAGATTCTGTGAGAAAAGAGGTGATGCTGCAATGTATATTAAGAAAATTTGTGTTTTTTGACACATGTAAACCTATTGTAGGAATTTAGGAAAGATCCAAATGAACACATGACATTTCAAAACACATGAACGCGTAACAGCAGGGAGTAAACAAAAGTGTCACAAAAGATGGTGTTAAACTACCTCATGTTTCAAAGCACATAACATTACAATATTAATGAACATATCTTAAAGAGCACTAACCTGAACCACCTGACTGCAGCAGATTCATTTTTGCGTTGATAGTGTTCATTGAAACGCTTAAATTTGAGTCACAAAGCGCTCCGAGTATAACGTAACAGGTTTCCATCTCTTCCAAATTACAGAAGTTATGGCGTGAACGCAGCATAAGATCGTTGTTTTGGTTCAGGAGGAACTTTAAAAGGTGGCTGCTGTTTGTTTGCGGCGCTCGGTGACTGACGTCTGTCTACAACTCAGCATAGCATGATGACGTGTGATGTTTGCGCGAGCAGGTGCACGGAGGTATGGAAATACATTTGTTGACAGGCAGGTAGGACATCGTATCATTGCATTCGGACCGAATTCAATGATTGGACGAAAATTGTATGGTCCTACACTTTCCACAGACTGTCTATATATATATAATAGGGGTGTAACGATACACGTATTCGTATTGAACCGTTCGGTACGAGGCTTTCGGTTCGGCATTTTTGAACCGAACGGTTCGTTGGGCCATTTTTCCTCCCGACCAAAATTTTGTTATTTCGAAATAGGCGCGTCACGCGTGGCACGCGCTCTTATAATGTAAGAGACGCTGGCATGACCACAACATTGCCCAAAATCAAATGGCAAATGTAATGTAAGCGGAACGAAACCACTCGTTATTGTGTGGTTGACGGACCGTTTATCAGTTTGGACCAATGCAGCTCGAGCCGATCTTGATCATTAGCACTGTTACTACACAGTGAAATCCAGTAAAGAAAGCATTTGAATTCGCCACTGAAGTAATAACATCGCTGCGAGATCTAGTGAGAAACATTCACATTTCTCCATTATTAACCGATCAAAGAGCGCTGACGTGAAAACCAGGAAGAAACATTGTGCCATGAATGAACTATTCAGTGTCCACAGATCAGCAACATTCACCATGGATTTACTGTAGTAGGGTAACACTACTAACTGTAACCATGGACGTTTGGCAGGAATAGTAGGCTATAATGCTTTCAAGTAACATCACGTCGGTTTTATTTTGACATTATGAATACAATTGCTGCCCTCAAATGTTAATCTGAACTAAAAATAAACCTTTGTTTATAACTACTACAATATTACATTTCATTTTGTCCAAGGAGCTGTTTTGTTTTATAAGCTCCTAAGAAAAGTCAAGTATAGCTCCATCATTGCTCAAAGTTAAAAAATATCATACTTTATGATGTTAGTTTTAATAAAAATATAATTAAAAAAATTAAATCAAGGAAATTTCTCTGGCATTTCTTTCTTTTTGCTGTACCGAATCGTACCGAACCGAACCGTGACACAAGTGTGTCATATCGAACCGAACCGTGAATTTTGTGAACCGTTACACCCCTAATATATATATATATATATTATATATATATATATATATATATATAAAAATACATTTAGACCACTTAACATAGTGATTGCTACAGGCTGTAAAGAGACTTTCAAACAGCATAACAAAAATAGTCTCTGGAACAAATCACCTACCCTGCCTTTGTCCAAATATTTTTCTCATTACAAAAAAAGTAGCAAAAACACTGCAGTACAAATGAAAAATTGTGAACACTACTGAGGGATGGCTCAAATTGGTTGGTAAACGGTTTACTTTTAAGCCGGTTCATTAAAATTAATTCGCTTAGCTGGTTAACATTGTCTCCTTTTATCGTTGTCCCGTTAGTTGGTTGCTAAAAGTATCGCTTTTATTTGATAGCCATTCAAAAGTAATTGTGTATAACAAATAATTTATTTTTAAAGCAAAATATTCGCATCTCAAATATTTAATTATATAATAGGCGACATTTTGAAGTGACCAATTTTCCTTAAGTGTGAAAGGAAATTTAACGTAACTTCACCCAGTTTTGAGTGAAGGGTTTTGAACCTGTTCACTGAAATGAAACGTTACATGAACTCACTAAAACAGTTAAATTCACTTAAAATCAATCTGCCTTCATAACGGTTCTTATGACAGAGAGGAATACTATAATAAAGTTAAACATTAAATTCTGCTGTAGCATGACAGAACCAAGCGTGTGTTTGTGCATGTAGTACCCTGATCACTGAACAGCAGAAGCTTGCGCTTGTCTCTCTCTCCATCTGACGTTCGGATTCCCAGGACGGATTTCAGCTCGAGTAAAACGCGTCTCGACTCCTCGCGTTCATGACGTTGGCGTTCCTGTTCCCATGGCGACAGCATGTCCACCGCCCCTCTCCACTCCGTCTCAGAGTCCGAGTCCGAGACGTATGCTTCCAGTTCCTGGCCAAGAAAAGCAACTTTATAAATCCCACCTATAACCTCAAAATTCATTGTTTATGAATATCGCTGCATATCCGCTTATAACAAACACTGAAATCTTAGCAGTTTGTTTTGCTTCGTTCCACAAATTACATCTGTCAAATTCTGTAAGCACTATAGTTACAAACAATAAGCAAATGAACTAGATTTAGACAAAAATATGAGAGGTGCTTTTGTTTGTCATGCTTGAAGTTTATGGCTTTTATGGGTCAATGAGAAATAAGATCTGTCCACAACAAAGAAAAGGAGGTCTTTAAAAAAAAAAAATCTAGTTTAAAATGCATGTGCCAAATTTTGTATTTTGTATTCACGTTGGTTGGTAATAACGTCTTCATTATTATTTAAAAAGAAAGGTTTTAAAAATAAATATATTTCAAGGTAGTACATGAATTAATTCATAAATCAATCAAATATGATTCGGAAAATAATATAGTATTATTAAAAATAATAAAAAGATACCAAAATACTTTTTCTTTTGAAGAAATTAATGAATTATTTGAGTTTTTTCTTCATTATGATATCAGGACAGCTGTATCGAAAAATCTATTTAAAACAGAAATAAAATAAAAAGAATCATAGAAGTGTATTCAAGTCATTGTATGTATGAATTTTTATTCTATAGATAAAATGAGTGTAAGACAAACAGACACAGACAGACACACACACACAACAAACACACACAAACACACACACAGACACATACACACACACACACAGACAAGCGCACACACACACACACACACACAGTACCTGTTCCTCAGGGACAGGGTCTCTGTCCTGTATGTGTGTAATGGGGGCGGCAGGAGGGAGATCTGGGGCATCTGTTTCCTCTGGCTGATCTGAACTCTCTGAGGAACACACACAAATACACAGTATCCTGCTAATGGGTCTCCTTTCAGCACAAAAAAAAATGACATGGGACAAATTCAGTTTCTAGATTCATGAAGCACTAACATTTATGGGAATCAAATGTCGCTTGATGTGGCAATGTTATTGTGATGTTCTGCCCAATTACAGACAAATGGCACATTTTATAAATCTACACTACTGTTTTAAAAAAGGAACTTGAAAGAAACTAATAACTAAAACAAAATAGTGTGAGAGTTTAGACATCACATTATAATGTGCATTATGAAATATATATTTTTTTTTAAATCATTTAAATCTGAAATGTAAATCAGTAAACTGTTTAAATTAGGGAATAAAGTCCCTGAAAAAGTCCTAAAGGATTAAATCCTTGCCATAATCTATGATAAATAAATGTCTGATTTTGGCATATATGGATAAAAAAATAAATATAAATGGCTGTTAATAGATCATATTAATACTTTACAAGAGGTCATATTCACTTATCCTATTTTGTATCTGCTGAACTGTGCTGCCTTCAGAAAAAATAGCTGCTGTTGTTTGGCACACGCGTGTAGACATGCAAAAATACATGAAAGAACTGCACAGCTGAACTTTGACCTCCCTACAGTTTAAGCCCCAGCCCCGAGGAGGGTCATCATATGAAGCTGGGGAACAATGACGTCATCTACTTGTGCATAACGGCCTAATTCTGTAAAGGACATCACCCACCACATCCCTCTCTCTCTCTGTCTTTTTTTACCCCACTACTTCCCTAAAGATCCCTAAAATAACTAAAGGGAGGGAAATCAGTCGAATAAGGAACTCTAAAAATACTCCTAAGACACAGGCTGTTACCACACAAAGCCTGACGCACCTATTATATGGTGAGGACGTCATTTCGAGAGCTCGTACACACAAATATGGTCATGCTACAAATAATTGATTGTGATTAGTCCATTCTTTGTTTTTACTGGTCAATTGTTTTTGACCAGGTGACTGTACAATATCCTTTATATAATACTCATTCTAGGGCTGGGCGATATGGCCAAAAAATCAATTATCACGATGAAAATTTTTCATATCAGTCGTACATCACAATTATCACAATAAATGTCAAATCTTTATTTCTTTCAAGTTTAAAAGACTCCTATGTGAAAGTTGTAGAAACCAGACTTGTGGCTTTAAACTACTCTTTATTGTCATAATAATAATAATAATAATTCGATTAATAATGCATATACCACATTTCTGCCATAATACCATGGTGCACCGTGGTGCATATAATTATAACAAAAGTTTGATAAGTGTTCGATATAATGTTTATCAAGGAAAATTATATTGTGATAATTACCGTAATAGTTTTAGCGCCCAGCCCTAATACACTCTGTCTTACGGTCATTTTTGACCAATTTATGATACCATTAATTTTCAGAAAAACTACTAAATGAAACGAACAAAATAGAGGTTAATTCAAATTCCAACGGAGCGGCGCAGCAGCAGAGTGCTGTGATTGGTCGAGAGGGTGACCTCTGACCTGGGGGGCTGGAGACCCGTCGTAGCATGCGGTCGACCTGCGCGAGTGTGTCGTCCCAGCAGCAGGTGCTGGCCTGCATGTGTGGCTGCAGCAGCTGCAGACGCTCTCTCAGCTCCTGATATCCCGCGCACGTCATCTCCTCCGTCTCTTTCGCAACCATTAACTTTTCCAAATCATCCTCCAGAATTATGACCCTAGGAGAAATTCAACCATTCAGATAAAATAGTGTGTTAACCAGTGAGTTATACAAATGCTATACATTTCTGCACCCTATGTCAAGTTTTTTTTATGTATTCAGTGTGAAAATGAAATGAGTAAATCAATTGCCATTGTGTCAGATGATCTTATATTTTAGTGAATTTTATAATATTAATACTTTATAATATTAAAAAAGTTAATTTTAAGGAAATTATTAATTTCACCAATTCTGTCATTTAAAAAAAAAATATATATATATATACAGGTCCTTCTCAAAATATTAGCATATTGTGATAAAGTTCATTATTTTTCATAATGTAATGATACAAATTAAACTTTCATATATTTTAGATTCATTGCACACCAACTGAAATATTTCAGGTCTTTTATTGTTTTAATACTGATGATTTTGGTATACAGCTCATGAAAACCCAAAATTCCTGTCTCAAAAAATCAGCATATCATGAAAAGGGTCTCTAAACGAGCTATTAGCCTAATTATCTGAATCAACTAATTAACTCTAAACACCTGCAAAAGATTCCTGAGGCTTTTAAAAACTCCCAGCCTGTTTCATTACTCAAAACCGCAATCATGGGTAAGGCTGCCGACCTGACTGCTGTCCAGAAGGCCATCATTGACACCCTCAAGCAAGAGGGTAAGACAGAAAGAAATTTCTGAACAAATAGGCTGTTCCCAGAGTGCTGTATCAAGGCACCTCAGTGGGAAGTCTGTGGGAAGGAAAAAGTGTGGCAAAAAACGCTGCACAACGAGAAGAGGTGACCGGACCCTGAGGAAGATTGTGGAGAAGGACCGATTCCAGACCTTGGGGGACCTGCGGAAGCAGTGGACTGAGTCTGGAGTAGAAACATCCAGAGCCACCGTGCACAGGCGTGTGCAGGAAATGGGCTACAGGTGCCGCATTCCCCAGGTCAAGCCACTTTTGAACCAGAAACAGCGGCAGAAGCGCCTGACCTGGGCTACAGAAAAGCAGCACTGGACTGTTGCTCAGTTTTGCATGTCATTCGGAAATCAAAGTGCCAGAGTCTGGAGGAAGACTGGGGAGAAGGAAATGCCAAAATGCCTGAAGTCCAGTGTCAAGTACCCACAGTCAGTGATGATCTGGGGTGCCATGTCAGCTGCTGGTGTTGGTCCACTGTGTTTTATCAAAGGTAGGGTCAATGCAGCTAGCTATCAGGAGATTTTGGAGCACTTCATGCTTCCATCTGCTGAAAAGCTTTATGGAGATGAAGATTTCATTTTTCAGCACGACCTGGCACCTGCTCACAGTGCCAAAACCACTGGTAAATGGTTTACTGACCATGGTATTACTGTGCTCAATTGGCCTGCCAGCTCTCCTGACCTGAACCCCATAGAGAATCTGTGGGATATTGTGAAGAGAAAGTTGACAGACGCAAGACCCAACACTCTGGATGAGCAATTTTTTATTTTTATCATTACATTATGGAAAATAATGAACTTTATCACAATATGCTATTTTTTTGAGAAGGACCTTGTATATATATATATAAAAGGAAAATAACTAAGAAATCCATACTCGTTTAGGAGTGTTTTCAGGTGAAGTTGTAAACTCCGGACAGACGTGTGCAGAGAATTGAGCTCTCTACACTTCTGTTGAGCCCGTCCGTTTCTTCCCGCGGGGAGCGACTGGTGCTGCGTCTCGAAGTAGCGGTGGAAATCGAAGCTGCGCTGAAGATCACCAAGGCAACTGGCTAGGGTGCGATGGAGGGAGTCAGTAATCAAAGGGACGCTGCTGTACGTGAGGGGGCGGGGCCTAGAGTCTAGCTCCTCCCTCCCCGGAGACAGCAGCAGAGCCAATCGCCGGAAAAACTCTGAGCTCTGCCCGACCCACAGCTGGAACAACGTCTGCAAACCAATCAATGTTTACTGAGGAGAATCATGTGTTGTGTTATATAGAACAACAATAGGGCTGGGCAATATATTGAATATAGGTCGCTATGATTTTTTCAATGCTATGAAATTGGTTTTAATAGGGCCTTTTATTTGGCTGTTATGTTTCCGAAACATGCAGTGGAATGGATTTTTCCCTCTACTTTGTGTCCAGACTCACAGAAATCACAGCAAAAAAAACTTTGATTGATTTCTTTGAGTCAGTTCTTTTAAACTGTCCATTTCAATAATTTAATTCAAATAATAATTCAATGTCATGAATCAAAAATATTCACGGAAGTCCCAGCATACCATGTTTCATGTTACCAAACGTTTCATGAAAAATATATGTAGGTAAGGTAGGTAAATATTGGTATTTATTACGTATTTTTTACTTTAAATGAAAAATATAAAAATAAAAACAAAAATATTGTTACTTAACACATACAAATAATAATAATAATAATAGTATGTATTTATATATATATATGTGTGTGTGTGTGTGTGTTTGTGCGTGTGTGTGTGTTTGTCTTTATTGACTGAAAAACCTGCCTCTATTATTTTAAATGCATGTTTACTGTAATTTAATTAATATATACTTGGCAACAACTGCTGTTTTGTCCAAATTATGTATAAAAATATGTATTAAAAAAACATTTTGACAAATTGATTATATTAACGGATAATTATTGTAAATTGAATCATTACTGTGCTTTTAAATGTTTCATGAAAATATATATGCATGTATGTTGTTTTTTATTGTTATACTGCTAAAAAAAAAAAACTGGCGTTTGCAAATAAGTATTAAGATCACCATCTTTACAAGATATATATGGTCAAAACACAGAAAAAGTATGAGCTATAGGTTCAGCTATTTCGCCCAGCCCGAATCAACAGTACAAAAGTTTCTGTACCTTGAGTGCAGGCAGGCTGTAATCATTGGTCAGTTCTTGTGCTTGCTCATCAGTAAGATGCTCCACCCCCAGACCGAGACCAAGCTCTCTGATCGGCACGGTGGACACGTAGTTGGTGACATTGTCAATCTCTGAGTTCAGTGGAAATGTAAAACATAGTCAAGGACTTAACCACTAAGAATCCAAGTGAATTAAATATTAAGAAACTGCAATATAAAAGCAACTGATCGCTGCGATGCTGTTGGATCAGGATATGATTTGAGCATGATGCATGTGGCGAGGCGGGAGGCTCGGAACGCGCAGCGAAGACTCTGATAGGCTGCTTTCCGTAGACCAATCAGCTGCTGACTCCGAAGTTGCCCCGCCCTGTTGAAGGGACAGGCGCCACTCGCCCTGTCGAGTAAACTTTACAAGTGAAATGTGATCCAACTGTGGAGACGTCCGAGAACCATCAGGGCAGACACACATCACATAGAACACATAATACTACTAGACTAACAAAATGACACAAATGTCGACAAACTAATACACCTACACCACCATTCAAAAGTTTGAGGTCGGTACGATTTGTTAAAAAAGTTTTTTGAAAAAAGGATCTTATCCTCACCAAGGCTGCGTTTATTTAATTAGAAATATAGTAAGAGACTTAGTAATGAGTAAATATAAAATTGTGAAATATTACATTTTAATCTAAAATAAGTTCATATTTTAATTGGATGGCAAAGCTCCAACCCTGATCAAACTCACCTGCCTGTAGTTTTCAAGCAGAGATGATCATATTATTGTGAGATATAAGGGTTCGTGGCTCTACCATTGTTAAAAGCGTAATGGCTAACTTGAACATGTGTTTTGATAACCAATCACATTACCGCTTTGGGCTGTCGATTCATTAAATGATCAGAAGCCGTAGTGCACGTAGTGAAGCCTATCCTCAATTGACATCCGTTCAAAAAAAAAAAACGGCCTCTTGTTTCTTTCCCTGTGAACTGCAGCGTTAGCAGACGTCGCGCTTTTTTCGGCTAAGGTTGCAGGCTTGGCTTCAAGTGGGTTTGTTTCTAGTTATCCTGAAGACCTTGGTTAGCTTGTTCGGGTGTGTTTGATCAGGGTTGGAGCTGAACTCTGCATGAAAGTGGATCTCGAGGGCCAGCGTTGAGAACCCCTGATTTAAAGAGTACAAGGGTTCATTTGTGTTTATCTTACTGACCCCAAACTTTTGAACAGTTGAGTATATTACTAAGAATTAAAACACATAACACAGACAGTATCGAGTGAAAGACAAATTACATTCAACATGCATAGCAAACTAAATACACGCATACATTATTAAATCTATATTTAAACACACAATCAGACATAAGAGATGTTCATTTAGAGGAAATGAGCACATGCCAGTAACTCACATGCAGGATATAGTGTGTAGAAAATATAAATGATGAAGGCACAAACAATGAATCAAACTAGTTTTACTCGGGGCCTAAAATGAACACTTGCCAAGCGCTTAATTCAAGTAAAAATCACCGTTGGCGACTAAGTACAGTATGTGTACAGTATATATCATTATATTGGATCTGTGCGTGCATTAGGTCTTAAAGTGACAGCATCCTAATAATCCTACTGCTGTCTGCATTTTTAATGTAAATTAATCAACAAAGAACAACGAAAAGAAAACAAATTACCTTCTGCTCTAAACGGAACAACTTTTGTACCTTTAATAAGGATTAATCCAAGTTTAATTTATACAGTGAAGACTAGTACGCAGTAAATTTACTGTACCTGAAAACCTAAAAAACCTACATGAAAAGCACTGGTTATTTCATGTTTACTTGTCTTTAATAATGTTTTCAATTTATATTAGTAAAGACAAGCAGTTTTAGCTGTCGAAATTGTAATAGAGAATTGTGAATTTTCACTGGTATCTAACATTTTGGTGTCATAACTGCCTGTTTTTGCAAAAACAGTTTAATGGCAGGTACATTTTCTAAAGTCACCGGCCATTGGCAGGATTAGCAAAAAGTTAGTTAAAGGCCCTGGTTTTACTCATTTAAATTTATACTGCATTTTTAATATTATCAGTTCTTTTAAAGATAGTTTAAAATGTCTAATTTTGTCAGATATAAAATTAGATGAGACTCAAGCTCATATTTTAACTAAAAATGACGAACATTCAAAACTATATAGATAATGAGTCCTGCAAAATGGAACTGCTTCTCCCAAGCAAGTAATAGCACATTTTTTTTACTTTAATAAAAAATAAAATAAAAGCAAAGCATGTAAAATGCAAAAGCTTTAAACAACTATAAAACTGCATTACATGCAAAACTACTGCACAACACAAAGAATCAATTTCACATTTTCACACACAAAACAAAATCTAAAGACACTGTAGACATGAACAAACATAAAGTGGAAGGGTCTGTGTGTGTGTGTTGTGAAACTTACAGTGTGAATCCTCGTGAGATGACCTCTGTCTCCTGCATGAGACGCAGAGATTTGCGAGAGAGACTGGTCAGCGCTCGGCTGTTGTTCACCAAACCCTCCAGCTGGACGGCCAGAGACTGGACGTGGCGCTGAAGAACCGCCTTGTGCCATAGAGACAGACCGCGACAGGCACACATAACACACACCAGGATGGCACACAACCACAGAGCCAGCTCGTGGTCAGGGTACGAAAAGCGTAGGCCCAGCAGGACGGCTAGCAGCCCGACCAAAACGGACACATCCCTGTGACAAAGAAACACATCAGTGACATATCAGCTTGATAACGGTACAAGGTTTTTGTTGGTATTGATGTGGCTGTGTACCATAGAGAGGGAGGCGAGAGGTAGCATGGCGCTGGGACAGCAGTGCTGGCACTGGGGCAGACAGTATCAGTGGAGCCCAGAGAGAGCACACTCGGATCCAGAAGCTCGATCAGCTCGACGTCCTCCTGCAACAGCACATCCTGAGACAACAGACAGCGCAGAGAATACTGGCGGAAGGCAGCGTCCTGCGGGAAAACAAACACAGTTGAACACAATCACTCTGCGGCTAAAAATCAATCTAATTATCGGATCATGACAGCAACACTGCCTTGCAGCAATACTGGGATTCTGTACTGTACGCACAACAAGACAAGATCTTGGTCTCTAAATTTCTGAATTTTAAAATAATGTGATTAATATCACTTAGATCCTATAGAGTTGGAATCATTTAAAACTTAATTTGAAGAAAAAAGGTAACTTAATTTTTTGCATAAATATATATATTAAATACACTTTATAGAAAACAGCTTTGAATTTAGAAATTTATTTTAAATGTATCTTTATTTGTCATTTATAAACAACAAAAAAATGGTTTTACTTCTAATTGTTTTATTTAGAAATATATTTTAAATATAAAAAAAATTACAAAATAAAATAGTTTTAAAAATAGATAACTAAATACTACTTTTAAATTTAATCTTAAACATCTGCCACTTGATTTTATTTTATTATTCTAAATTTTCATCAATAAAAAAAAATATTTAGAAATTTAAACCGTTAATTTTTTTTTTTTTTTTTTTTTTTTTTTTACATTTCAGATGTAAAACACATATAGTGATCAATGCAGACATAATTTTTTTTACAATAAAACAAAAACATCAATGTCAATACGAAGAACCAATAATGTATACCATTGATCATGGAAAGAAAAACAAAATATTTAATTTTCAAATATATATTTAGCAAAAATAAAGGATTACCAGCCACCACCAAAGGATTTTGTTCACCAGCTGTCAGTCTTAAGGTAAGATGATTTTACTTATGAAAACAAACTGAATTTAAGATAACAGTGACTATACAATATGTATTTTAGGTATGGGAGTGGCATATCTCATGGGATAGTTTATTGGTCAATGAGCTGAGTTTTGATTGGTCAACAGGCTGGTTTTGTTACACAGATCTAACTCAAGATCTAGTGATCTTATAAAGTACCTTTATATCTTCCTACATAAACAATTATTCTCCCACAAATATTAATGTGATTATGCATATTTTACACATGATTGAAATCCAGGTTAAGTTGGTAAAGTTGCACACTGTCAAAACGCTGTAAAAGGCATGAGATACTGGCTTAGGCTGTTACTCTACTACGACACTACTGAAGGAAAGACGAGCAGAAAGAGAAGGAGCTTCATTCTCACCAGCTGCTGCTCCTGCCAACGGGTGGCGCTGTCTCGATGCAGAGGACTCAGACTGCGCAGAGCATCAACCAGCCTCCAAACACCACCCTTCTGCAAAATACACACAGCAGAAAACCAACGTAGGTCATACTGTCATTCAAAGCAGGTCAAGTTGCTAAATACTGAAAAAGTGTTGATATGTAAATACGGGCGGTCATATGTTAATGAGCTAATGAGGTTAGTTAATGAGTTAATGAGGTTGTGATGTCATAGAAGTGACCATTTTTTAAAGTCTTTGGATGGATAGAAGAAAAAAGCTTTTGTGTGTGCAAGTATGCAAGTCCATATTGACATACACACACACACACTGTTGTGTTATTTGAAATATGTTAATACTTTTCTTCAGCAAGAATGCATTAAACTGATCAAAAGTGACAGCAAAGACATTTATAATGTTATAAAACATCTTGATTTCAAATAAATGCTGTTCTTTTGAACTTTACTTTTGAAACTATTCATCAACAAATCCTGAAAAAAAGAATCTAAGTTTTCACTAAAACATTAAGCAGCACAACTGTTTTCAACATTGATAATAATAAGAAATGTTTGTTGAGCAGCAAATTTGCATATTAGAATGATTCATGATCATGTGACATTGAAGACTAGAGTAATGATGCTGAAAATTCAGCTTTGCATCACAGATTACATTTTTAAATATAAAACAGCTACTTTAAATAGTAATATTTAGTTTCACAATTACTGTTATACTGTATTTTTAATCAAATAAATGCAGCCTAAGTGAGCATAGGATACTCATATTTAGCTTTATTAAAAGTCAGATGCTGGAGTGTTTATCATGTCCTTTTGAGTAACATTCCACAGACCGACTATTGATTCCTGTCTGGGTCATGAATCATGATCACACAAACCACACGTCTGGGGGGTTTATTATTTTAGCCTACATACTAAACATCCCGTCGTTTATTTGAAACAAAGACCGACTTGATATCTTAAAATCTCAGAACAATTGTGTAGTTTTGGGAAAGTATATTGGTCATTCACGCTCACACTGAGAGGTTTTCACTGTTTTGTCTTCTTGTCTTTCTTCATGTCTTTAGTATTCCACTGCTGTAGGACTCACATTCTAGATGCTTTGACTGTGTGTCAGACAACTGAAGAATAGAACGAGACTCTCTCTCTCTCTGTGTGTGTGTGTGTGTGTGTGTGTGTGTGTGTGTGTGTGTGTGTGTGTGTGTGTGTGTGTGTGTGTGTGTGTGTGTGTGTGTGTGTGTGTGTGTGTGTGTGTGTGTGTGTGTGTATAACGTCGTAACTGGGAACGCAAACAGGGACAGCCTGAACCGTGTAAACTTAAGACAATATGATGCTCTCTGTGAAAACTTTACACACAAATTATAAAATAAAGTGTGTACGTGCTGCACACAAACAAAATTTTATTCTGCCAAAGGAATGAGCTCTGTTCACACACACTGAGTGGAATTTCATCACATTCTCAAACAAGAGTCAGACAGGACAATTCTTCAGTCATTCATCACTTCCAGTTCCTGAGGTGACCATGAGACCGACCTTCACCGTTTCATACTGATGGCTGTTGTGACGGGATCCAAACACACTTTATTTTTCCAAATCGATTTTTTTTTTAGAGTGAAACACTTATTCAGCACATGCTTTATCTAACTAAGACTAGGGAGTGTGTGTGTTTCAATTTGTAAGGATTTAACAAAAAATATATATATATTTTGAGGTACAACAAAATATTTTTTATATATATATTTTAGCTCTAGGATTCTGGTTAAAAGTGAACATGAAAGATGTACATCTGTAACAGTTTGTGAATAAAATAATTGACATTTTGAATCTTTAAAATGTGTAAAAATATAAATGATATATAGATAAAAAAACAATTTTAGCAAAAATAAATGAATTATAAAGTAGACTTATTACGATAAAGATATAGTTCTAAAAATCGTTTTAAATGTAAAGGAATAGCAGAGTCCTCACTACAACTATAATGATAATGGCACAGAGAAACGATATCATTGGAATCATCACATTCACAGCGTTTTTTTCCAGCTAAGGAACGATAAAAACATTGACAGCCAATCAGAATCCTGTAACGAGCTTGAGCGTTTAAAGTGACAGTGCACGCGCTTAGAATAAACAGAATGATATTTTAAAAATGACATTATTCCAGACAACTAAAAGAATTAGTAACATATAAAAGGTGAAAACTAATAAGTAAAATTATTAAGGCAATGATATTAAATAAATATCTTATTTTGATACACAGTGAATAAATATAATTTATTTTCCAAGCGCTATACAATTGCCTAAAATAACAATCTAACTTGTTCAATTAAATTTAATAATATGATCTAGAATTTCTCGTTATAAGTCTGTTACACATACATATAAATGTTTCTTATGCCAAAAGATGGTAATTACATTTGTAGTAGTCCGGGTTATGAAATAAAAAAATAAATTAAATAAAGTATAGTACACTTATATAATATTTAACTGCATTTTTTATTAAATACATATTATGCATAGTTTTCTTAAACTACCTGTAAAATTTCAAGGCGATACAAAGTTAACCTAAAAATGAACATTCTGTCACAATTTATTCAATTTTAAACCTTTAAGGTTCAGTTCTAAAACACAAAAGGAACATTTTTTGCAGAATGTTTAAGCTGAATGTGAACTGGCTGTCAGTTAAAAAAACAAAACAAAATAGAAGCATCATAAAAGCAGTTTTAAAAGTATACTAAGTCTTCAGAAGCTAAACAATAACTTTGTGAAAAAAGCTAAATGAAATCGCCATTCAATTATATTGTTTGCACTTTTTTCCCCACTTTCATTTGATGGAAAAGAGCAGGATGAACATTCTGCTAAACAACTTATTTAGTGTTCCATGGAATTCAAGGTCATACGGGTTTGGAACGGAGTATAAATAACGACATAATTGTTATTACTTATTGGATACAGAATATTCAGTATTGGATCAGTCCGTATCAATTTCAATGTGCGTTTCAAAAACTGTGTTGGTTACGAAACAACAATTCAGATTAGCATCTAATCCGCTTCTGTTTGTTCAAACAACACAGTGACAGCAAGTTTTGAAAAAGAGTACATTTTTCCCCATTTCGTTTAACACTACACAGACGAGGGTCTTTAGAGATTGTAGTTTGCTACCGTACGGTTTGCGTATTGGAAAGGTAAGTGCTGACACTCACTTTGTGAGACGGGAGGATATCCTGAGGAAACGGTGCCTCCTCTCCACCAGCGCTGGACTCCTCCTCCTGAGAAACAGGAGAACATGCCTCAAAATCTGTGTGTCCTAGATCCTGCAAGTACTGGAACAGCGGAGAGTTCTGGAGGGGTGAGATAGACAAAACTCTAAATAAACATGGGTCAATGACAACTGAGGATGTCCAAGATGATGAGAAGAAAGACTCTTCTTTACTTTGGTTTTTGAAGAACATTTACCCATTTTTCAACAGAAGTTTTGAAAAATGTCAAATGGTGCAACCATCAAGTAAAAAATAAGATTTTAAATACATCCTGAATATGTGAATATAGTATACACATCCTAAAGCATTTTCAAACGTTTTTTAAAAAGAATTAATGGGGAAAGGCTGTTTTTGAATCATGAACATGGCGTTTTATATGAGTTATTCTGTTTGACTGCCTGAACTAACCTAAAATGTACAATAATATGACTTTTTAAAAAATATTTAATGATCTAGACACATGGTTGAAATGGTCTAAAACATGTTCATTTTCAATGTATTCTTATGAAATAATAATCATAATAAATTATGCCAAAATGAAGAATATTTTAATTCCAGCGCTTTTTCATCAGTGCAATCTCATGACAAGTACACCACATACCAAATTCTTTCCTGCATGGCATTTATTTTCATAGGACACAAACTTTGATCTGACAAAGGTTTTCCAAATATGAATTATATTTTAACCCAAAACTTAAAGGATAATATTTGAATCCATTACTATTTAAAAATGATTTCCGCCTTTTTCCATTATGACCACAGGACCGTTATGCCACCCTGACATTTTGACAAAAGATATTATCAAATATGGAATCAAAATTTCATGTGTCCTCATAATGTTTAATCAAAATAACTTCCTCTTGGTCTCTTCTCTTCTCTAATGACATGTTTACTGGCGTGAGGGCGGGACAACCTGTCACTCACATGACATCACAGCAATAACAAAGTACAACCATCCAATCAACTCCCGATGAACAAAATCATGCCCTACATTTTTTCTTGTTTGAGAAGCAGTTTAACTCGGATATACGTCACAATAGGGAAGAACTTCCATTTCATGCTGACTTAATAGATTTACTGCAGAAGACTTATAAAAAGTCAAATTAATTTATTTATATACACATATATATATATATATATCGACAATTCAGGATTGGTATTCAGTTAACGTATGTTGTCCTGAGCAGCAGAACACATGGAAGAAACACAATTTGATGAACAATATAGAGAGGAAGGGAGGAGAGAGAAAGAAAGAGGAGTCATGATTCCGATATCTCTCTCTCAGGAAGTTAAGGATTGTGCTCTCCCAGAAGAGAAACACCAGAAACGACATGCTTTCCTGCCCTTTTTCCTCGCTTACCTCTCGCACATCTCTCGCTCTAGTCTTAGATCTTCTCAAACGCAACATCGCTCAACGAAGGATGTAGACACTCTCGCAGGTCCCAATTCCCAACCAGAGATCCAGAATCACTGGCTCATTTCCACTGCTTAGCATTGCCACTGGATTTGAGTTGCTAAAGAGGTTTAAAATTCTCATATTCTTATTTCGGTCAAATCCTGCAGTGAGGTAGCCTGCCACCCGTCATGAACTTTGGATCTTTTTGCTCTAAAGCTCATTTGCAGTGAGAGGAATCGGTTGGCGGGTGTTCATTGATGTGAGAGAGCAGCTAAATTGGCCTGAGGCGAAAGACACGATTTTAGGTCACCAAATGAGAGCAAACTGAATCAGACTGTTTTTGTTTTGAAGTCTGGATAGTACGTGGATACAACGCTTTAAAAGCATGACCCAAATCTGACCAGCACAACGTATGCCAACAACTGCCCAAAATACACATAACAGGAGGATATATTACCCTGCTCTTCAATATTGGTCATCTAAAAATTTGCTCTTTATTTAAGTCTTTCAAGTATTTATTTTTTAAAACAGAATTGTAAGTAGCTGATCCAGGAAAAACAAATAGTTACAGTCTTACTCCATAATTATTCCCTATTGACTGTTTGCTCAACTGTAATGTATTCTAACCATTGCCACAAACAGATGAAATGAAAAGAGGTCTAATCTAGACCAATGCATATGACATATGACAGCATGGTTTCCCTGGTGATGTTGATCTGACATTCCCAATCTTGACTCCTAAAGGCGGATCAGGGACACATATGCTTTGATGCACAATGCTCTTAATTCAATTTAAAGAGACTAAAACCAAACAGACCACGTAGACAGAGAAAAAAGAAACTGTCTACATTTACAGTCTGGCTGTGTCTCAAACCCTAGCGAGGTACCTTCCTAAACTGTGTCTCAAAACACCTATCTAGACAGCATTTTCAAACACCATAGTACCAAAACCCAATGAGCTACAAGCATAGACAGCATTTCGAGGGAATTTTAGTCACAAAAAATAGTGAACTGCCTTCTTAGACAGCATTTTTGGACACCAATATCTAAATCCTTATTGAACTGCCAACCTAGAAAACATTCTTGGCCATCATAAAGTATCTAAATCTAGTGACCTGCCTACCTAGACAACATTGCAACCTAGTGCTTGACGCGCCTATGATGCCCAGAAATGCTATGCAAGTAGTCAACTCACTGTGTTTTACGGTCTCTGACGCTGTGTTCATACAAGATTTACGTCTCCTAACATGTTGTAATATATGAAAAAAGGAGGCAGGCCTACTTTGCAACGCGGTTTACACTTAATTAACCCCAAAGTGCTTAATAAGCATCTCCAAGTCATTGTAGAGGTGCATGGGGAGGAGTGTTATAGCTGCTAACTGCACATCATCTATCACAGATATTAGAGCAGCTGTTGTATGTCTGGACCAGAGACTTACCTCGAACACAACTTCTTCATCAAAATCCTCAGTCATAGCTCTCCGCCATATGTGTTCATCAGTTGCGCATGCTGGGATGGAAATTACAGGAGAGGTCTGTGTAGCTTCTGCTGAATGCGCAGAGACATGCCATGACTTGAACTACAATTCCCATGATTCATAGCTCTTCTTCTTCTTCTTCTATTTGACGACGGTTCGCAGAATGTAGGCCTACTTGACGACATCTACTGGACTGCTGGATTCATTTCATTGTTAATTAAAGGGATGGTTCACCCGAAAATGAAAACATCAAGTAAAGTCTGTTCACTCGGCGGGCCATTTTTTCAACGCCGCCTGGCAGCTATTTCGGGCATCCAAGACCATATCCAATCTATTTGAATGGGGGGATCCTGAAATCTAGAAAACGGCTTGCTGAACTTACAATTAAATAACATATTTCAAATCAGCAACCAAATCTGAGATTAACTGCCCCATAACGTTGTTTCTTATGCTCAAATAGCGTAAAAAAAGAGCTTATTTTTCAGGCTAGACCAGTCCTAAGCGCGAGTCTCAGGTTTCTATGGGAACCGGAGCTTCTAACGGCAGCTGCAGTGACGCAATGACTTTACTAAAAGAGGTTGAGGTTGACAACATTTTGTGTTTTGTGAACTATCACGATTTTACAACATTAATTGTTACTTCCAATATGAGGAAAACAAAGATGTAGTGGTTTTAAAAACATTTCCCGAAAGCCCTTATATTTTAATTGATATCTCTTTTTTATTTTATTTATAGAAATAACTTCTTGTCTATTGATTTATTTCGTTTTCTTTGTTTATTTAAATTGTATTAATACTATTTATGTTGGGTTTGTATTTTATTATTAAATTGTGTGTATTGTTATTCATTAACATTACAACATGTTATAAAATATACAGATTTTCAATAAAAAAAGTTTTTTCAAAATAACTACTGATCTGTTGTGCAATCTTGACTATAAAATCCAGTAAATAATTTTGTATTGTTGGATTATTAGAATTATTAATTAGAATGTTATGTTTATTAATATAGACTGCATTCACTGTACTCTATAGCCAACTAATTTCATGTTCCCCAATGAGGAATAAAAATTCATTTCTGTATGTTTTAACTTTAACATGTCAGAAATATCCTTCTACATCTATTTTTTATTCTTGCCACAAACAGCATTAGGACCATCTACTTTCTATTCATAACCCTCAAGAAGTGGATGTTCGATTCGCAAAAGAATTGTTCTTTGGAATCGGATCCTTTTAATGAATCTGTGAAACTGAATCGCTTTATGCCTTGAAATCGGTTGATCTTAATATGAATATGAACTATTAATGAGCTTCTGTAAATAGAGATGGCCACGTTGCTAAAACATTTACCATATTTGGTTGTTGTGGTTGTGAAATGCACATTTTCTTGTTTGTAAGGAGCACTTTAGGCTTAAATTATGATGTGGTTGAGACCAAACAATGTGTAATCGTGTATCTTGAGAAAACCATTATTAAGGTTACATAATCAAACACATCATCTGTTTATTTATGGAGGGGATGAATAACTGAATCTGGTTGTTGAAAAAAAACTTGATCTGTTCAATGAACCGACTCGCTGAATGAATCAGATCTCCCAACGCTCGAACAGTGAGATCGCCTCTAGCGGCGGAGCGTGAAAGTTTTTATTGAACTCTTTGACTGGACTTCACCGTTCCAGCTTTACAAAAGCGGTGGCAAAAAAACATGGAAAGCATGGAACTCATTCCAACTCAATAGAAATACAAAGAGTCTGGATGATCTTTTGAAGATATCGAGTTGTCTTTCCCTCTAGGACTAGCAATGGCTCCTGCTAGAAGAGACGAGCTGAATCTCAAGGAACTGTGCTGAATGCAGCTCATTCATGGAGTAAAGAGAGTCGTTTGGGGATCATGAGTACAGGTTAGTTTCCTGGATGAATAAACATCAGCTACTTCTGTTGAACAAGCAGTCTAGGCAGGGAACTGTAGGGCAAAATGGTAAGATGTTGCGATATTTAACGGTTTCATTGGAATATTTCCAAGTGTTGCAACCGGTGTAACTTTTACGAAGTCGCAGCCTCAGTGTTCCCGTTCTCTGTGTGTTAGAGGCTAATCTTGTGCTAACGGGACGATTTTCCCAAAAGAAGCACAAAAAGAAATTCCTGGATGAAGAAGGTGAGGAGTAATGTTGTGATATATTTCGGCATGTTTTTGTTTTTTTTCACCGCAAAAGTTGAAACCTGAAGGGACGTTTTTATTTTCAGCATTCTCCAGTTTTCCCCCCAGGCAGGCATGCATATCTATGGAAGCCGCACGGGATACTTTGATTTGAATCTTTTGTTTCAACTTTGCTTTGTTTCCTTTCCCCGTTTCTTCGGTTACTTATCACACACAGAGAACCATTTTGGGGCGAGTTTACTTTGTTTCTTTGTTCTCTTCAATCGATATGGACACTGGGTATAAGGAAAGAGACTAAAGAAAAATCCCGTGATTTTCTTTCCACTGCTGTAAGGGACTCTACCGCACAACATCCGCCTGATGACTCCCTCTCGCGTGCTGCTGCTGATGATGATGATGGGGTGAAAGAAGGACAGCTCGCGTGCTCTGTGGTCCGTAGCTCGAGCACTGAAGCACGGGCCCGCGAGACGCTCCGGACTGAAGCACGAGCTCCGGATCACAGAGCAGAATGAGCGGAGGAGGAGGAGGGCGCCTCTGGGATTAGTCTTGGATTGCTTCCCTTGGAATGGGAAGACCACATTTCCTCAAGAGAGCATCAACAAACCCAAATCTTTTTTTTTTCCTTCTCCGAAAGCGCTGTCTAAGTGATTTCAGTGAAGTCAATTCAATTATTGTCTTTTCTAATTATGACATAAAAGAGAGGTCTGAAATCAAAACATTCAACTATAATAGTTGTTGATCATTCAGATATATAACTTTTCAATGGTTTCCTGTAATACTAATAATTTAAAATAGGATTTACTTGAAACCATGTGAAATCTCCACGATCTTTCTGTTACTTTTTTTTATTTTTTTTATGGCTGTAACAAAGTGACAATAATTGTAACTCTTTTGTATGAAATTAAGTTGTTTACTATACACTGATGCACCTGAGACAGAATATACCCTACACCTGTCATTAGTTTTGAGCATAGTAACATTTCCACTTTCTGTCTGTAACTGAATAATTCATAGTTTATATTATATTAAAATAAATTAAAGAGAAATATATAGTACCGGTCAAAGTTTGGAAACATTATTATTGTGATGTTTTTGAAAGAAGTCTTATGCTCATCAATGCATTTATTTGATCAAAATAAATCAGAAACAGTAATATTGTGAAATATTATTAATATTTAAAATAATGGTTTTCTATTTTAATATACTTTAAAATATAATTTATTTCGTTGATGCAAAGCTGAATTTTCAGCATCATTACTCTGGTCATCAGTGTCACATGACTCTTCAGAAATCATTCTAAAATGCTGATTTATTATCAATGTTGGAAACAGTAGTGCTGATTAATATTTATTTGGAACCATGTGATACTTTTTTCAGGATTCATTGATAAATAAAAAGTTTGAAAGAACGGCATTTATTCAAAATATAAATATTTTCTAACAATATAAATCTTCACTATCACTTTTTATTAGTTTAACACATCCTTGCTGAATTAAAGTATTCATTTCTTTCAAAAAAGAAAGAAAAAAAATGACTGACCCCAAACTTTTGAACGGTAGTGTGTATATATTGTTACAAATGATTTCTATTTTAAATAAATGCTGTTCTTTTTTTATTCATCAAAGAATCCTGAAAAAAATGTACCACGGATTATAAAAAATATTAAGCAGTACGACTGTTTCCAACATTGATAATAATTCAGCATATTAGAATGATGAAGGATCATGTGACACTGAAGACTGGAATAATTATGCAGAAAATTCAGCTTTGCATCACAGAAATAAATAATATTTTAAAGTATATTAAAATAGAAAACCATTATTTTAAATTGTAATAATATTTCACAATATTACTGTTTTTTCAGTATTTTTGGTCAAATAAATGTAGGCTTGATGAGCATAAGAGACGTCTTTCAAAAACATTTAAAATATTTATGTTTCCAAACTTTTGACCGGTTCTGTGTAAATATAAATATTTAGAATGAAATCTTTGTCCTCGCAGACATTAAAGGTTCATTGTAAAAATACACCTCCTTTGTAAAGTTTTCACAACAATGTCCATATGTGATACTGTTTACATTACCTTCTATAATTTCACCTGCAATTAAGTTAAGGTTGCCCAAATAATGCTTATTTTCTGTTTTACAACTGGGATTGTTGAATGTTCATCAACATAAAAACATAGGTGAGTATCTCTAAAAGTGTTAAACCAAATAAAAAAACAATGTCTTGGTACATAATCTCTTATATTTTCCTGTCTCTAGACTGTTTTGGTTCTCAAGAATCAGGGAATTTTTTAAAAGTTTTGAAATCTCAGTGATAATCTAGTATGATGATCTAACGCTCATGAAAGTATGATGAAGCCACTGTCTGTACAAGAATATGCTATTCAGCAGCATTATTGAGACTGGTAACAAAATCTTGACATGATAATGACACAATGGACCTTCATTAACAAGATTTCTCACAATTCTAAACGCAAAGAATCCATAGTTTTGATGTGCACATATGCTGAAATTTGTTTCAAAGCTAGGTTTCAATTGTGACCCATCGTGTTCAGCTGTGTGTCTTTGGTATGCAAGTCTATTCAATGAATTCATGCGGTCCCCCCTCTTCCTTCTCTGTGTGAGTTTATGTAGGAATGAAGAAACCGCCGGTTGCCCCCAAACCCAAGCTGGTTCAGTCGCAGAAACCATCGCCTCCCCCCATCGCCCCAAAACCAGAGATCCTGCTACCGTCACCCTCACCCACTGCACACAAGAGAGGAAAACCTGCCGTCGCCCCCAAACCAAGCCTGCCCAAAGCCCCTCAGAAACCTCTCCAGCCAAGACAAGATCCCTGCAAGACCCAGCATCCCCCTGTCTCCAAAAATGGGGGTCCTGCTCTACTACCCTCACACCTGTCACATTACATCATACCACCCTGTACTCAAGGTCATCAATTAGGTAACAGCAAATCAGAGGATTCTAAGGAA